TGTGCCGTCCTTCTTCCGAACCACGACAATGGGCGAGGTCCATTCCGCTGCATCCACCCGCTCGATGATGTTGAGACGTTCCAACCGTTGCAACTCTTCAGACACCTGTTCGCGCAACGTAATGGGCAATCTGCGTAGCTTCGCAGCGACTGGCTTCACTGATGCACGCACCTTGACTTGATGAATGAAGCCCTTGGCCAGGCCAAGCTCGCCCGAAAAAAGATGTGAGAATTCACCGCGTAAATTCACTGGCAGCAATTCCGCTGAGTGCGCGACAGTTTGTAGACAACTGAGCGTGTCGCCGTGGATGTTCAGTTGCAGGTTCTGAATGGCATCCAGTCCAAGAAGTGACTTGCCACGCTGTACAACATGAAACAGAACACACGTGCGTGTGTGTTTGTAGGCCACGTCATTTAAAAAACAGCCTTTCACTGGGATGCGTTTTTTGGAATAATCCAGCAGCGTCACCGTCGCGTCAGTCAGCGAGCGGCCAGCGAAGTGCTTGTGGAAGATATCTTCACTCAGAAGTGAAACAGACGAGCCGGTGTCGACCAGAAACCGTAATGTCACGCTGTCAACGTCGATGTCGACGTAGATCCCTTTCTCTCGCATGTTGTCAGGGTCCAGGTTCAAAATCGTGACAGAGTTCGTGGCCGCCGACAATTCTTTCGCGGCGTGATTTTCCTGCCGACCTTCTTGCCTCCGCTTCGTCTTGCACACCGCGGCACAGTGCCCCCGCTTGTTGCAGTTGCGACATGTCTTATCTCTGGCCGGGCATTCCTTCGCATTCGCGCGGTGCGCAGTCGAGCCGCAACGGTAGCACGATGCAGTCGACGCCTTTCCGGTGCTCCCACTCGTCGGCCTGTCAACAACTCGCTGGACGACGGGGTCTCCAGCAAGCTCCTTCAGCTCTCGCTTAGTCTGTTCGATGTGCCTGCCGAGGTCGATCGCGCGGTTTAGTGTCAGACTCGTTCCCTCGAAGAGCAGGCGCTCGCGTATCTGCTGCGACGCTGTCCCTTCCAAGAGCTGATCGCGTATAGTCTTGTCAGCTGCCTCTCCAAAGTTGCAGTCCGACGACAACTCACGAAGTGCGGCGGCGTAGGCTTCGAAGGCTTCTCCCGGCATTTGACGGCGCTGACGGAAACAATGTCTTTCCATCAGTTCGTTCGTCGCAGTCGAGAAGTGGTTGTCCAACACGTCGAGTGCTTCGTCGAATACGTTCTTGTCGTCATGCCCTTGATGACTCCTTCCTTTCCTTTTTCTTTGATGACCGATGCCGGAGTAGTCGGTGCTACACTATTGTAGATCCGCTGTCTTCCAGGCCCAGCGCATTGAGCAGAATAGCCCTCCTGCGTTTTGGCGCGAAGTCGTCGCCGCCAACGGCTTCCAAGTAGTTCAGGAAAGCTAACTTCCACTGCCGCCATGGCACGCACGCTGGTCCCGTCGCCATTATGCAGTGTCCTGAGGACACGAAGAAAGGGTCGACTAGTCCATTCGAACGTTGAACGAAAAAGCGTTTTTAATGCGAGTCATAGGTTGCCAGATCACGTTATGGTATGTACAGTGTTGCCAACATAAAAGCAGAACACAACAGTAATATTTCTTGAAGAGGCTGAAGAAGCTTCGCGCATCCAGGGACAAAGCGGCGATAGAAATTCACAAGCCCGAGGAAACCCCGTAGGTCACGCGCTGTTTGGGGCTGGGGATACTCTTGAATAGCCTTTACTTTTGAAGTGAGTGGACGAATGCCGTGACAATCGATTTGGTGGCCTAGGAATGAAACGCTGGACACACCTAAGTGGGACTTTTCTGGGTTGATCATTAAGCCATGCTCATCCAATTTTCGAAAGAGACATCGTAAGTGGTCTTGGTGTTCTTGCTCGGTGCGCCTTGCGACGAGAATGTCGTCTATGTAGGCATATACGAACGGCATTCCTCTCAGGACTTGGTCGAGAAATCGTTGAAATGTCTGCGCAGCGTTTCTCAGGCCAAAGGGCATTCGAAGAAATTCGAAGAGGCCGAACGGTGTTGTTATGTTATTGCTGTCTTTGGAATGTCCTCTGGAGCCATGGGAATTTGGTGGTAAGCACGGACAAGGTCGATGGTGGAAAAAATTACCACTTGTCGAGAATTGCGGTTGCGTCATGTATGTGGGGTACTGGGTATCGGTCGGGTACGGTGGCTTGATTAAGAGCTCTATAGTCCCCGCAAGGACGCCAGTCACCTGGTGTTGATTTTGGCATCATGTGGAGCGGTGATGCCCACGGGCTAGAGGAGGAACGTTTGATGCCCAGCTCCAGCATGTGGTCAAAGGCCTGTATGGCAGTACAATACTTGTCGAAAGGGAGCCTCCGGGGTTGAGTGTGAACTGGAGGGCCGGTTGTTTCAATATGGTGCTGGATGTTATGCTGCACGTGGGTGGTAAAGGTGCAGGGACGAACCAGGGATGGAAACCTGCGCAGAACTGCGATGTATGGAGAGTCGGAAACAGAGAGGAGAGGAGAAAGTCCTATCGATTGCAGTTTCGTCCGAACTCCAGAGACTGCCAGATACGTTGTGCCATCAAAAAGACGGCGGCCGCGCACATCGACTAGGAGGTTGAATTTCTGCAGAGAGTCTGCTCCGAGAATGGGGTATTGCGTGTCTGCAACGATGAATACCCAACGGAAGATGCGACGCACCCCGAGGTTGATGGTGATGGTTCGCAGTCCGTATGTAGGGATGGTGGTGCCGTTTGCGGCCTTTAGTTTCGAAGGTTGTCGGTTACGACGGTCTTGAAGGGAAGGTGGTACCACTGAAACTTCAGCACCAGTGTCGACTAGAAAACGTGTTTTTGAGTCTTTATCGGTAAGGAAGAAGAGACATGGACGACTGTGTAACTGGCCAGCATCACTCGTCGTCCCTAGTAGCCGGCTGGATTGTTTCCCTTCTTCTGGCAGGTACATTTGCGTGCGTCAGCGCCGAAGGTGCGATGATACCAGCACTGTTGTGTGGAAGGGCTATGAGACTGACTAAATCGACGAGTCGGGTACGGACTTGTCCGTCGGAGACGTGAACGCGAAGATCGAAGGGTAGAGACCATCTCTGTGAGCTCGTCCACGCGACGTTGAATGCTGGTGCAAAGATCATCAGGGATTTTCTCTGGTTGTGTTACTTGGTTGACACCTGAAGGATTTGAAACGTCGATAATTCGATCGGCCAACTTCGCCAAGTCCTCTACTGTAGCACTGTCAACTGATGCCAACATCATGCGTACATCATTTGGAAAACGTTGGAGGAATAGATGACGGAATAATGTGTCGTCGATTGTGGCGTTAGCGAGCAACTGTTTCATCCGGCGGAGAAGCTGTGGCGGTGTTTTATCTCCTAGCTCCTCTGCAGTAAGCAGCCGCTGAAGTCTTCGTTGCTCCGAAAGGCCTGTACGACGGACGAGCTCGTCCTTAAGGACGTCGTACGGGGTCACTGGAGGAGGAGCGATGATGATATTGCGGACCTCAGCTGCATCTGTGGATGATAGTGCGCTCACCACGTGATCAAATTTTGTGATCTGGTCGGTGATTCGCCTTAATTAGAACTGCGATTCCACCTGAGCAAACCATAATTGTGGATCTGCCGGCCAGAATGGTGGCAGTCGGATCGCTATGGGCTGCTACCTGCGGTGGATCGACAGGGGTAGGTGCATCTGTTGCCATCTCGGTGCGTCTGGTTGCGATGTTCCTCGTCCGGGTCACCACTTGTAACGAGTCGTGCGTTGGTTTATACGCTAACTATTTATTTACATTATTTACACGTTGGTTCTATGGACTGTCGAAGTATGACATGGCTGCCGTGCTGATCACCCGAGCAGAAGTGTCCGAGCGCCCTTGGCGTCTTCTTCCTCATCCGCTGCCGAGGTTTATATGTGGTCGCCACAAGATGTTGGCTTATCGCTAGGGCTGCGTCATTCCTCATTTTCACAGCTTAAGGGAAAGCACAGCCTCCCTCCTATATACTGACAAAGCCTGACAGATCGCCACGAGAAGCGGCCGCCGAAATGGAAAAGGTGCAGCGGAAGACAAGGGATGAGAGGATTGCCACGTGACTGGCGCCCCGCTGCCGGCGAGATGTCGAAAAACGCTTTTCCCAAGCGAACAAGTGTTTCGGGTCCTCGCTGCTGCAAAAGCTGTGCGCTAACATCCACGTTTTCCGAGGAATGGCTCTTTGATGCTCTGTGCTACCAGATCCTCGCTCTCCAAATCTCCGACCAGGCACTCTATGGCTCCATCGTCAACTGCCAGGCTCTGTTAGTGTAGAGGAGGCTATGAGGAAACTCTTGGCAACCTATGTGCATGTATACTGCTGAGGACGATACCGTGAGCGGTTTTCGCACACCTCTACTTATCACCATGGCAAAAAGTGACGAGTCACTTGGCTGTGTACGCGTAGGCGACGTCTGCTATTCCACAAAAAAAGAGCTCCCGCGCATGCGCAGAGCGCGTACCACAACCAAAACAGAAAATATGGCAGCGGACAGAAGGCAAGTTCTATATATTGTGCCTTTCTACGGATGCTTTCGAACATTTTTTAGACTTCTTTGAGAAAAATAAGACCTATTTTCGGGAAGAGACTGCCAGCCGCAGAGGACGCCAGGAATTACAAGAAAGACATACTATTAAAAAAACTTAGCTAAAAGGTACGATTTTTTTTTAATTAGTAACAATAAACATATGGTGCGTATTAAAAACTCGCTGAGCGTCATAAAAAAAAACCTAAATCAGTCAATTTTACAGAAATTCAAAGCACGCGGGGAGCGCTGGAATACGCTAAAGTTGCCACTCGTGCGGGAGCACAGGGCCGGTGACGCGAAAACGCAGATAATATATTCATGTCATTCACGTAATTCCTGGCGTCCGCCGTGGCTAAAATTCTGTTCCCGAAAATACTTTTTTTTGTCAAACAGCCTAGTTTTAGGAATTTTTTTTTTTTTTAATTTGTAGAAACACCCGGAATATCTTTCTTACCCTTGATGAAGGCATGTTTGTTGGCGGGCATGTTGGAAAACAGGTGCACAACAAAGCCAGTATAGTTGTGCTCGATACTTCCTTTCATGACAAATGGTTCGGTGTGCGGACAGCCCATCTGTAAGACGGGCTCAAACTTCATTCCGTTGGGTATTGCCTGGTAGGGTGACTCCAGGTTGATGAAGTACCGTCTCGCGTCGTCAATCTTGGCCTCCATCATCACGTTCGCCAGGTCTCCGTGGTCCTTCGCGGACGCTACACAAAACGCGAATAGCGTTAGCGCCATACAGTTACGTTCTCTTTCTTCTTTAATGCCGACATCATTTCTACAATATAAAACTCCAGTGTGTCCACTTTCCCGCTTGGCAGATCTAATTGCTGCAATATTTTGAGCAAATGTTTCTCTGGACTTTGTATCTTCCCCCTTCAGTGAAGCCCAGAAACTGGGTACTTAGCGGTAATAAAATGTAAACTAAACTAAATGAATGTCTGTTACAGGTGCGCATACCTGAGATTTCAATTTTCTTCATTGGGCAGGAATACAAGAAGTGCATGCTGGCCTCTGTGATGTTAGGGTTGTTCAACTGCAGCTCTATAAGGTGTCTCCGGTTTATGGAAGATCCCGGTGTGTCCATTATGAGCTGATAGAACATGTTCCTGGGATCCTGAAACATTAAAGGAAACCAATCGCTTCTAAATTGAACAGCTAAAGCGCATCTGACGCGTAGTCAGGGTTTCGTTTAAATTACGCACAAACTTAAAGAAAAAAAAGCACACATATGAGGTTTCAAAAAGATGTCATGTAACAGTTCCATCAACGTTACCCGAGAGTAGTATTAAAAAGAACACTGATCTCTACTGTAGTAGGTTGGATCGCGGATCGGGAGCCCGTCGGTGTCGCCCACTGATCTCTATGTCTATTTGCTGGATCGCGTTTGACCAGCTCCGCCTATGGACGGAAATGCGGCCACGGTCGGCCATCTTTTTGGTAGAGTTATATCATCTCTAGCCATCATAGTAATATGGCGGACAGTGCAATGGCGGCAGGCTGCCATAAAATAGCCGTGGATCTAGTACACTGTACCGTGGGCGACATTTCGTGCTTGATTGAAGCTTTTCGATGAAGCAGATTCTTGAAACTCGGCGTGAACGGTAGCCTCATCTTTGAGGACCCGGCGAAAGTTCTTCGAAAGCGCAGCACAGGGGTAAAGCAGCGCAGCTCGCATCGAAAGCAGACTTCGTACCAGCGTCTGCTTTCGATGCTTCTGTCGATGCCACTTTCGATGCGTGCTGTGCTGCTTTTCCTCCGGTGCTGCGATTTCGTGAAACTTTCACCGGGTCCTCAAAGGTCGGGCTACCGTTGACGCCGGGTTCTAAAATCATGTTTCGTCAAACCATTTCAATCAAGCACGAAATATCACCCACGCTATTTTGACGGCAGCCTGCCACCACAACTACTAGAACGCTGTCTGCCATGGATAGATGATAGCGGCTGCAGCAGCTTACATTGGCTAGAGGTAATATAACTCTACCAAAAATATGGTCGCCAGTGGCCGCATTCGCGGAGCGGGCAGACGCGATCCAGCAATTGTCATAGAGATCAGTGGTGTCGCCAGCGGCGGCCATTGCTTGACACCAGGCAATAGACGCAAGTCTATGGGAGAAACGCACAAAAGTAAGAATAGTGAAGCACGTACGCTGTGCTCGGAGGCGAGTATTTTAGGGTGTGCTGCGGTCCGTATGTCAGGGGTTTGGAGATCGAATCGGTATTTGTCAAACGTTCGAACGCCGATTAAAAAATCAAACGTACCGGAGCACTTACGGTTGATCTGGCGAGCTTACTCTCGTAACGGAGTAAACAAAGGAACTTGCCGTCAATAAGACCGTCCTCGGGGAAGCCCAGAAGTTGATGAATGACAAATAAGTTCCATCTCGACGGCGGCTTTCCGGGAGTGAGCGAATTCCGCGTAGCAAAGCCTTCGAACTTGTCGTCTGCTAAACCCAACTCAACGAAACTGCCACCAACTCCGGTAACTCTAGGGAACTCTCGCCTCATTGAGCTGCACTACAGCAGAGTCACTCTCGACTACAAAATATTTATTCATAAGAACTACGAGGGCTGTCAGTTTTAATGTCTCTACGCAAGCTATTGGACGGGCTTATCGAAAGACACCAAAAACGTTTCAGTGCCGACAACAGCATAGAAATGAGGGAAGCCACACTTTTTCTCGTTCTTCCCATAGAGTCCTATGCATTGGCTGGTGTCAATCAACGGCCGCGGCGATTGTACAAATCTCCAGACAAAATTGAGAAAGAACCAAAACTACCTCTAGACAACTTGGCAGATCTTTCCAAGGTATTTTCCCTCAGTAAACCAAGATCAAAGCGAAAAACAAAACTAAATGTAAATATTAACGCTCCAAGATCAAAGCGAAAAACAAAACTAAATGTAAATATTAACGCTTTGAAGTTAGGTTTGGTTATCCAACCTTACCGTAAGTACGGAGGCCGACAAACTGCCTAGAGACTGATTCACTTGGCTTTAGCTTTCATAACAAAACCTCTAAGAACGTGTTATTTCAGATCAACACTTTCAAATTCCTTGCCGTGTCCAGGAAATAAACTGTGGCTACAGTCCAAAGGCTGCACACTTCTGGCCACAGTTACACTGCCCCATTTAAACTTAGCGAACTTAAGTCCCGCTAAAATTAGCGGTGTTCATGTGACTGTGACGTCACGCCACGTCATTACATTACGTGCCACCGTGACGTCATGTGACACTGAATTCCCACTGAATTAGCGAAGAAATTCCCCGTTAAACTTCATGGAGAAATTTTGCCGCCAATGTTTTCCCTAACGTTCTCGCTATATTTACCGGAAACCTTAGGACATCACTGACACCGTGACGTCACAACGATATCGGGTAACGATATTACGCAAGCTCGAGGGCGCCGGAAGAGTATCGGGCATTGTTATCGGAGTTTTAGAACGCTCTATGAAAACTTCCCAACAACAACAACTGCAAAAAAAAAAAAAAAAAAAGGCGCAAGCGGGTGCTTACGGATCCAGCAGCCGGGAACTTGAGCTTAAACTCGTAGCCCTCCATTTGAGGGTCGTTCTTCTGCAGGGTCAGGCCCAGGTCGAAGGGCAGGTTGATGCCGCGGTAGTCGAAGAACGGCTTGGGCACGCGTCCCTTCAGGCACAGGCTCACGCCGAGGGCCTTGGACAGGGTCTGGGTGCACATGTTCAGGTCCTTGGTGACTGGCGCCGGCAGTGGCGTTTCGACCTCGGCCTCCACGGAGAAGATGCTTGTCCTGCGCTCGCAAGAGAGATGAAAATTTTGATCCGCAGTCCCACTGGTGGTACATGGTGCAAAGTGCACGATGGTCGCTGCAGACATGTGTGGTGAGGGCATTATCTGCGGACAAGCCTAGGGCATGTGCGAAGCACATGCTTGCTTCATAGACATGCATGCTTGTCGGCAGGCATGATCAATGTGGCGGGACCTCCGTTCAAGAAAGGCCTCAGACAGTGTTTTCACGCTGTCTCTTGTATGGTGCATTAGCGGCGTGACCACTTGTTTACAGAGTTAATATAGCAAGCAAGCAAATTTTTTGGGGGGCCACGGCACCGAAGACAAACTCGTAGCCCCCCCTCCCTCGCCTTATGTTGTTTATTTTCGTGTTATAAGTGTGTTATAAGTGTGCCTGTGAAAAATATTATGTGTATGTACATCCTGTCCTCTTTTCGCTGCTGTGGGGACGCAGAGACTCGTCAAGCAACAACTGAGTTGCTTTCTTCTCTGTCTTTCTCTCCAAATGAAGATAGATAAAGATTTTGAGTTTATGAGCAAAGCGTGGAAAACTACAAAAAACGGCTGCCTTTTTTTTTTTTTTTAAGTTGCAAAGATTTTATATACGCTAATCGGGGAAACATTAGCTGGACCTTAAAAGATGCAAATAGGGACAAACTTCAAACATGGCCACGAGAACCGAAGAGAGGGAGAAATACGAGTTTTCTCTAACCTCACCGATATTGCTCCGGTATATAAAATATTACCAGCGACCTTTATCGTCAAGGTCCTATAATGTATGGAATGCCGTAATTAAAGAAGAAATGGTTGAGGTCACGTGACCTGATGTCAGCGTATTGTCAGGTCACGTGGTACCGCGACGCCATGTGACGTCAATTTTCCCGCTAAATTTACCATGGAAATTTCCGCTAAATTTAGCCGCGAAATTGACGTCCCGTGACGTGGGTTTAGATGACGTGGTCACGCGATGTGACGTCACGGTACCATGTTAGGTCAGGTGACTTCAATTTCCCCGCTAAATATAGCGGGGAAATTAACGTCACTTGATACCATGATATCACCTGATGTCAATTTCTACACTCAATTCAGCGTGGAGATCCACGAACGGAAGCCGGACAAATTCCTGGAATATGGGGGTTCCGTCGAAAAGCATCCCATATGCTTTAAAAACGCAATGAGGATTACAAATATGATTGATAAGCTCGTAATGCAACGCTCACTTGAGGTTGAGGATTTCCTGTTTCTCTTGGCGCATGTTGTACTTGAGGTTGATCTCGCCCGTCGGCTTGATCTCCACCTTGCCGTCCAGAGCCGTGGAAGTGTGGATGGTTGAGGTCACGCGGATTCCTCGCTTGGCAACGCCAACGTCGATGGACATCACCCTGGTCAAGTCAATCGCGGCGCTATTGGGGAAGAAGAAAAAGAGTAGCATGAGCTCAGTGTACCCTTGAATTCTAAAAGCTCAATTGCGCCTGGTACACGCAGTAAACAACAAAGATGCGACAGGTTGGAGCTGAGCCTGAATTTGTTTATAGGTGACGTGGTACCAAGTCATGGGACGCCATTGTCCCCACTAAATTTAGCGGGGAAACTTAATTGGTGTTGAGGTCACGTGGCGTAAATTTTTCAGCTCAATTTAGCGGGAAAACTGGGGGAGGATGGGAGGGTACGCAGGAGGAGGAGGATGGGAGGTTGCGGAGAAGGAGGAGAAGGAGGGGCATAGTTGGACATACCCTCCCATTCGTACCTTTCCCTCTTCAAGAGCTGCGCTCTAATTTCGAATTGCGGAGACTTGTAAACGTTTCGTTTTTTTCTTGAGTTGACAACGAATGTGGCGCCACCAAATAAGCTACGCTTCAGAGCACTTACACTCCAGTCATCTTGGTGCTTAAAATCATTGTTTCCAGTTCGCCGGAAACTTTTTCTGCAGTCACAAGAAACAGGTTTTCCTCCTTAAAAACTTCTTAAAACAGTGAAGAAAAAAAAAGCAATATCGCCTAAACTTTTTAACACCGTCATTTTCGCATCGTAAAACTCGCCAATATAGTGCCCGCTCTGTACTAAGCACCAAAATGGCGCTGCGTCCACGAGAAGGTTTGTGAATAAAGTGCGGATATTCTAAAGCGGTACACATCATGTGTACTCATGCGCATCATGCAAGCAAAAGGCACGTGGCGTTCACTGCAGACATGGTGACAAAATTATCAGTGGGCACGCTTCAAGAATGTTCCGCAGCCAGTCTTCTTCATACATACGTAGGTATGTCTGCATACAGTCTTTTGTATGCAGTATTAACAGTGAGAACGTGGCTTAGAGGGCCACTGACAGGGGATTTATGCTCGCCAAATTTTTGTTTGTTTGAACTTGACCTACAAGAGGACAACCACTTAGAACACAATTTGCAACTCGAAATCAGTTTTTCCTTTTTTTTTCGCCCGAAAATAGTTGGTCGTGAATTGGCCAGTTTCAGTCTCGCTTACTCTCTTTTTTATGGTCAAGTTGCGTTCAGACTGTGTGTATCAAATATATTCCAAGTCGCGGGTCATCTCAGGCACACATCTCAGTATGAAATATATGAAAGAATATAAACCCAATTTTTGCGGCCTCCGAAAAGCAGAAAATATGTTGATGGAAAAAAAAAAAAAAATGTCGTACAGATCACGGGAAGTACAGGGTGTCACAAAAGAAAATTTACACAGTCTTTTTTACCGCAAAAATAAACTAGGCATCGCCGAACGCTCATTCTCCGCCCAAAGGTAGTGCTAGAGGTCACAACCAGATGCCAAAGTTTCAGCCCGATCCGATAACTTAATCAAAAGTTATAAGTGATTTTCTGAATATTCCAATGGGAAAATGGAGCCCATTTTTGCCCGTTTTCGGTTTCTGGTACCATAGAGCCCCAAGTGTTCGAAAACTCCGTCGGCCGCCATTTTCCCATTGACATTTTCAGAAAATCAGTTATAACTTTTGATTAAGTAATCGGATCGGGCTGAAACTTTGGCATCTCGTTGTGACCTCTAGCGCTACCTTTGGGCAGAGAATGAGCGCTCGGCGATGCCTAGTTTATTTTTGTGGTAAAAAAGATTGTGTAAATTTTGTTTTGTGACACCCTGTATATATGTCATTTTCAATATGGTGACGTACCCCGCAGGCTGGACGACGCGATGGCAACGCATGACGAACCAACGTTGCAACGGACGTGGGGCCGCTACTTCGCAACTGTCGTTCGTGGTACTGACCAACCGATCTCCAAGCGCAGAACATCGAGCCGAAAGATATAAGTGCAAAACAATCGCACGACAAACAATGCACACAACTTCATTGTCTTCTTCACACACTTGAGAAGCGGATAAAAAAAAAACGGGGTCGGTTGTAACCACGTGACTTCCGGCCATGAGCTTCCGTGCTTGTGTCTCAATCTCGATTCCGAGCAGATCAGTTTTTTCGCTTTATTAATATATATATATATATATATATATATATATATATATATATATATATATATATATATATATATATATAACGGGCATGGTGACGGGAGGCCGAAGGCGTGGGTATAAAACTGAGAAGAAAAAAACCCTTAGTGAAAAACAGCAACAACGGACGATTTAATCTTCGACGTTTTGGCCAGAGTCCGGCCTTCGTCAGGAAGACCGGCCTTCCTGACGAAGGCCGGACTCCGGCCGAAACGTCGAAGATTAAATCGTCCGTTGTTGCTGTTTTTCACTAAGGGTTTTTTTCTTCTCAGTTTTATATATATATATATTTTTTTCTTCTCAGTTTTATACTTACGCCTTCGGCCTCCCGCCACCATGCCCGTTATATATATATATATATATATATAAACTCTTTAGCAAGAAAATTGATTGGGTAATTTCCAGACACAAAAACGCCTCCTGGCAAAAATTAAAAAAAAAGCATTTGGGGGTGTTAGTGTTTCTTTAAGCATAGCTTATTCTGTGACTTGAAACCCACCTAGGTTTGATGAATCCCTCGATGAGCATGTCCTTTGGCGCGCCCTCCAGGTTCAGCTTGCCGTCGGACTTGAGACCGGCCGTGACCGTGGCCTTGATGTCGGCCCTGAACGGGAATCCCGTCACGGTTGGCACGGTCACCGTCGTGTCGATCAGCATTGCGCTGCGGGCAATGTCCATCTGCTTCTCCTTCATCAGCTGGGACGACCAAAGAGCGATTATTTGTTAGCAGGTTGTGCAAAGTCACCAGTTTGATTTTTTTCGTACAATAAAAGCATATTTATTCCATTCTCATCCAGTTTGATGAGGCAGTTCGCGTTCGTTTTTATTTTTAATTTTAATGTGTGAGTAACATTTTCCAGGTGATAACACGTTTAGCCAAGTGACTGAATTACAAGATGTGCACTGTCAAAATTTTCCTATATCGAAAGGGTTGAAGAAAATCTTAAGTAACTCTCACACAAAAAAATGAGACTCCAATCCACGCCGTGAAGGTCGTTGGACATCGAAGCAGTGGTATCACCGGCAACGATTGCCCACTGCACTATAGACCCTGTTTATGGCAAACGCCACCAGGTGGTGCTCCAGTCTTTGACGTCCCAGAGAACTTCCGGTTTATAAAAAGAATGAACGACGAGTTGCCATAGCAACGAGCCCACCTTAAAGGCCGACGACCAGACTCGAGAATCTGCAAGGCAGAAGATCCTCCTCACCATGGGGGAGGAGGAAACGCAGCGGTGGACAGGGTAGAAGGGGGGAGAGGAGGAAGCAAGAGAAAAGTGGAAAGCGATAACTGGTCGTCGGTCTTTAACACCGCTGCTTGAAATGTAAAATGTTTAACCACAAATTCTTCAGGTGAATGCCAAAAGAACGAAGGAGTGTGATATCTGTTAAACTGTTTTGAGTATTTTTGCAAACCAACTTGTCTCCTCCAAAAGGTAATATTGTACAGCCGAAGGCCCTCATTAAGTCTCGAATTTTGTTGCCCGTGTGGCATTTATGCTTTCTAGCACCGGTGACATAAGCAAGCTCAACAGTCTTGCAAAGACGGTGCGACCGGAACTCGCTTGCACTCTCAGAAAAAAAGGTGTATTAGTACACCCCTTGTCCCATATAATACACCCCAAAACTTCAATTCGAGGTACAGCGCCCCATAATCAAACAGGCGGCCCCAAAGTTTACGAGGGGCTTGATAGCAGTTGATATTTGTGAAAAGCAAAAGGGTCTATACCAAATAATCGACGAAAAAAAAGTAAATGCACTGCACCAAAACATTTTTGTATATAAAAGACATCGTACGCTGCCGTTACTGCGGCAGCTTATACAACCGCAATCTTTACCGAGAAATGCATGCGGGGAGCGCTATGTGCTTATTATCCATCACGTGGTTTTGACTCTTGTTTTACGGTTTTTATTGAAACAAGTGTCAAAACCACATGATAAAAGATAAGGCCCGCACGAACGGTGATAAGGCGCGCGCGTGGGTTTTCTGTCGATTATTTTGTCTGTCGACTATTTTATCAGTCGACTACTGTTCTGTCGACGGACACGAAAAATCCGACCAACGAGTCATATACAGCTTCGCTGTAAAACGGAGCAAGAAGCGGCAATCTGTAGTTTTAAGTCCCTCAAATCCAAAGAGTCAATTTTTTTGTATTATTTGCTGCACCGAAGCTACAGATGCTGAAAAATGCGCATGTAGACAGGTATGTGTCTACATGCCTACATAAAAAAACGCTTCTCACATAGTAGTATTAACGTCTTTTCAGCTAGCTATCCTTTACTTTCCTCGACTCCCCGCGCAACAGGGTTCGAAGAAATGGTGCAATTTGAATCGGCTATTGTGTCGTTTCTACGAATAGAATCTAAAAGAAAACGTGGCATACGTAAATTATAAGAAGCCCACTTTCAACCTTGGCGGCCATTTGAATGTGACAACCTCTATCTTTTCTCTTAAGTGTTCAGACTCCATTTTAAACTGACATTACTTTTTGCTGCGGATACAAGAAAAAAATTAAAACGCACATTCCAGTTTTATGCAACTCTGCCTCTTCCGCTTTATAAATGACTCATGTTTTATGTTGTTGCAATTTCGTATATTTTATATATTTCAAATTGAAAACGAGGTAGTTGTCTGCATACGTCTTAATTTCTTCAAGAACATAAATAAACATAATTACCCTTCCGGATTTATTACTAAGAAATTGAGCTCTTCAAAAGAGGTGCGATAATTATATATGTTTATTTTGTATTTAATGAGTCAACTCTTAGCATCACATCTTGCCCTAAAGAGTTTAGAAATATGAGGGACAGTTAAGAAGTCTCCATTATGTTGATCGCTCGTAAATTCTAAGTTTTACTAAAAAAAACATCAGGAATTTTCTTTGAAATGGCTGCTCTGAAAACAAAACTCTGAAACACACGTTTGTCGTTCGAACATACCCGAGACATCCAGTTGTTGGTTGCGACGCCGTCTGCGAAGTTGGAAATGTCGTCCATGGTGGGAAGCTCGAACCATGCCAGCTCGTTTCCAAACATCTTGAAGTAGATGGACCCGCTAGGCTGGTTCGGTTTTATGATGTTCACCTGTATGATTCAGCAGCAAGGAAAGGAATATGTAAGACCCCGACACCTGTAAACGTATTGCAATAACGAAGAAATTCGCTAAGTTTCTCTTGCCTTCTCGTCGAAGATGTCCACCTTGGTGGTCTTCGGGGAGGCCCTTCGAGACCTTCTCAGCTTCTCTCCCAAGCGAGACCAGAAGGAGTCAGTCTTATGGCTGTTTCCAATTTGTCTTTTGGGAGCCAGCAGGCTTTCCAGCATGTGATCGTAACCCTCAGCACGACCCCCAACCTAAGTAAAAAAGATGTCAGAGTCCAACGTAAGAATCAGTTTCGTGCTACATCCTTCACGCTCTTTCAGTTAAGGAACTACTGAAAAGGGGGAATCGGCGGCCAAATATGCTAACACACCGCAGCTCGGAGCACGTGGAGCAAAAGCTCGCGCTGCAGAACCCAGAGATCCCGGGTTCGATTCCCACCCCTGTCTGTTTATATCTGGATGAGCATCGTGCCGGCGCGCGGTCGTGTAATCACCACTGCGTGATGCCTGCTAAAGGCTCCAGGTTAACAGTGGTACTACCCTAAATTTCTATTCTACAGCAGAGACAGACCAGACCCCAATTGTTGCTGACAAACCTCTCGCTGTCGAAACATAGACACAATACAGCTACTTTTGCTTCTGAATGTGGCTGCTGGAAGACTCTTCACACTTTTTCGGTTATGTGGCTACTGGATGGCCTTATTGTAGCTTATGCTTTTAAAGTTGTTTTAGAGTCTCCTTTCCTCTTTCACTCATCCTTCCTTCTGATATAAGCGCAAAGGATTTGACATTTTCACTACTGGAATACATATAATTCTTATCATATTGACCTAGTCGATTCCCTTGCAGTACTCGGCAACAAGTTCGCAGCACACAAAAGAAACATTTTCATAATTAACGCGCACGTCCTGAGGACGTGCTATTTTACTTACAGCAGACTGGACCAGTTTGTTATCGAGGGAATTTTGAGGACGTGTATAATTTAAATAAATCCTTACAGGAGTTCCGCACTAAGCCTAGATGTATGTTTTTGACCCACCTCAAACAGGTTGATGGAGTGGGAGAAGAGGTCCACCGTCAAATTCATCATGAGCGACCTCGGAATGAACGACTTGGGATGGTAGATGATGTTGGCGTCGGCCGTCGCTCCAAGGTTGAACTTCTCCGAGTAGTCGGACCACTCAATGTTCTGGGAGGACTTGCGGAAGTCGGAGTCAATTTTGCTCCTGATGACAAGGCTGGAGACAAGCGATCGCAGGTTCATCTTCATTGGAGATTCCGTTTCTTGAAGGTTGCTCAGGTGGGTCATGATGAACGACAAAACTGGAATGTTTTTTTGCAGCGTGTGAGAATATAAAAGTAGAGCAGAACGGCGGGCAAGTTAATTCATCGCACGAATGCTACGCCGAGCGCAGGGGTTGCGGCGACTTGAGAACGCTGAGCTCTGATTAGCTCCGATTGGAAGGATAATCTGCAGACCTACAAGCATCTATAGCATTGAGGTCTACCTACTATCCTTCCCATCGAAGCCAATCAGGCATCGGTGTCATTCCGACGTCATTGCAAGCCCTTCGCAAGAAGCAGACGACTTGCTTTCCGCATAGTCACGAACAACATAAGCAACGTAGGGCGTGGCTTATAATATTCCCGCTTCCTACTTTGTGGTTGTTTTCAGGCGTCCTTATCGGATCACGCCGCAATCTGATTGGCTGCGGAGTGATAATGAGATGCACGGGGGCTCGCCACGCCCTGCGTTTATGAAACTGTCTATGACGACAACAGCGCAAGGGAACAAGCAATGAAAGGGAAGACAAGCAGCTCACTATTTGTCCTTTTTTCTCTGCTCCGTTTCAACTCACGATGGATTGGGACGGAAGCTACGAGCCATTGGAGCCAATCCAATGCCCTGCGACTGTCACGTGACCTTCCGTACTGGCGCAGCAACATGCGGGGCGCGTGGTCACGTGATCCGTTCACAGTGCTGGATTGGCTGGGATGGTTCGTAACGTCCGCTGCAGTCCATCTTAAAGGCGACTCCACTTCATTTTGTTTTTGAAAAACACATTGCAGCCCTCTTCAGTATCCCCTAGGAAGACCACACGTCAAATATTACGACGTTTTTCTGTTTGATTGTCTCTTAAACGGTCCGGAAAACTTTGCAACTCGCCAAATTGCCGAAATCGGCTGACTCGAGCGGGCGAATTGAGGCGCAATCCAACAGCGCAGTCAAGGCTACGGCGTGGGCGTAGCCAACATTGAGCTAAACGTCATCACCATTGCTCCCTTTTGCTCGTTTTTACTTCTCCGGACGAGCGCAGCGGGTGACGTCAGTAATATTTCCTCGGCGCTCAGCGGTGTCCACGTGGTTGGCATAACGCGCCTGCGCAGCGCGCTTCTTGGGAGCCGTCCAGCCATCTTACCCTATAGTCCCGCCGTTTTTCACGTCACAACCGCCGTCGTCGTCTCACCATTTGTGATTATCGTCTCTCGGAGTTTCGCTCACACTACGGACACTATGTGCGCAGACTTACACCGCAGTTGCGCACCACGTTCGACACCGAACGTGGTGAAGAGTGCGGTGCAGACGACATTTGCGCCTGGCACACGCCATGCCAATCCCGCCCGTCGTTGCGTAAAGAATCATGTGACGTCTCGTTCCATGGGATAGCCATGTTCTTGGCGGCCCGAGGCCCATTTTTTCGCAAAGCAGACGACGTAGTGTCTTTTACTAGTGCTTTTTAATGCGAAATCGCTCATTATCCTGAAATATTTGGAGTTGATCGGAGTTGTCCTTTAAGATAAAATGGAATTAAGTTCTAGTTCCCCAGGCGCTTTTGGTATTCTTTATCATATATATAGCTCGATAACCGCGTGCAGAGTTGTGGCACCCAACGCACCAATCAAATCGTTGAACATATACGGATCCGCGTCATAACTTTATTTGGATGTATACTATAATTATAGTGGTATTTAAAGAGACAAGTGAGTAAAAGAGATACGTTTGTCAGTGTTTCAACAAAGAACTACAATTGAATTATTCAAATAGCATCACTGAACATGACATTTCAAAAACAGTTCAAGTTCAATTTCAATACCGTTCTTCGAAAGCTGAGAGCGCCACTAATAATATGGCAGTTTTCTCACCGACCGGATGTCCCGAGATTTGTGTAGACATAAATGCTGCTCACCTTGCTGAGTCTGTTCATCTCCTACCATCTTTACGACCTCTACGATGTCCTTAAAGCTCGGGCAGCGCATCACTCCAAGGTAAGAAGCGATCCTGATTTCCACGTCCTCAGTCGTCGTTTTCATCAGCTCAAGAAGTTTCGATTGCACCTGCATAAGTTCGGTTACGTTGTTTAAATCAGCCAAACGGTTACACGTATTCGACTCTCAAACGGACGAGTAGAGAGCAGATAATGCGTCCTCTACGTGAAGCTTAATTCAAATAAGAAGCGATAAGGTCTTACCTCCGGAGTGCATGACCTTCTGAAGGACTCGATGGCTGCAAGTCGAATCGGGAGTGGGTTGTTTGCTGCAATGGCGCACTCCATGATGCTGTTGATGGCTTCGCCGTGATAACCCAGGTTACCAAAGCCTTTCAGCGCCGTTATAATCTGATAAAAAAATCGTGTCATTAATATTCATTAGAAACATTCGGGACAAAAGCAACAACGAACGCGCAGATTTTTAAATGAAACCATTTCTGCCAAAGCCATAAGTAAAATTCCATGTTTCGGGGTTTATGTTCCTTCAAACGCGGGAGTGTCTTTTCGGGGTTCCTTGTTTTGTTCAAATTCAGTGTTTATTGGTGTAACTTTTTAATGTTGAACACTGTGTTTATCGGGGTTTACGTTGAGGAAAACATGTCACAAGCATGGAATTCCCCACACTCGTTATTTTTTATTTGTTTTAGAAAAGAGGGGGGGGGGGTTCTTAGCCAATGCTTTAATTTGGAAGTTTTCATTTTTTAATTTTAGTTGAACAGGATTAGTGGTAAGTTTGTTGGGTTTTTTGGTATCTACCGGAAACCCCACTCAAAGGCCATGAACCAGCGAAAGCTCTTTTCAATCAATGCCAGCAAGTGTCAGGGTACCTTGTTCCGCGAAAGAATATCGGTCGCCCGGCACTTGTAACTGAGAATCTTGGTCAGGGCGCCCTGCAGCTCCTTGATGGCGGGTACTTCGTCACAGTTGCGGCTCTCTTCGCGGCAAAAGATGTGAGCCATGGACGTAACCGCGAGAATAAGATTCCTCGGGGCGTTGGGCTTCTTCACCATGGGCTGAAATAATACCGAACGCATTCTTTTAAATTCCACACCTTAGGACAACACATGCACTATCCAATCCCAGTGTCTCACTATACTGAGGTAAAATAGCAGAAACACAAAGATTGGAAAAAGAATGGGACAAGACAAATAAGCGCTCTGTCCTGTCCCATTTTTATTTCTATCTTTGTGTTTGCGTAATTTTACCTGAGTTCATTCAGTGAATAACAACTGGCCCATCCATATCTTATCACAATCCTTGGGTATATTTTAAATAGAACAGTCTAAGAAAAAAAAATGGGCACCGACCTTTACTTCTTAAGTTCTAGAATGCATGAATTGCATTACAGAGAATTGACGAGGGAATTGGTTTGACAGGTGATGTATATTTTTCCGCTAAATTTAGCGGCTAACCGAATTGGTGTATGGGTCACGTGACGTGAATTTAGCACTAAATTTAGCGGAGAAACTGAATCGATGATTTGGCCACAAGACGTTAACTTTCCTGCTAAATTTAACGTGGAAACTGAGTCGACGTATAGGACACGTGACGTCCCTTTCCCCGCTAAAATTGGCGGAACGGACAAACGGACGGACGGACGGACAAAATTTCGGGATTGGGGGAAGCGTTAAAATGCATTCCATGCTTTAATACAGAGCTCTTTCTCTCAAAGCACTAACGAATGCCAATCGCTGCTATCTACAGAGGGAGCTTGGTGAATTACAAGGCTGATATATATTTAGAGCTAAAAACAACTGCGCTGTGGCAGTGAGCATGACGTTTCACCATATCAGCCTCGTCATTCGACAAGTTCCCCCACGCAGATTGCAGCGATGGGCCCTCGTCAGTGCTTCGTGGTAGAGTAGACGCGACTTACAATGAGGACGCTAATCATTCCTTCGGTCGGGTAGCTGATGGAAGAGAGCCCAGCAATCCATGCCGTCAACCGGGAGGCGTGTTCAGCCTTGTTCATAAGTTCCACGGTCTGCTTCAGAGAAGCTTCTGTTCCGATCATGGGCAGGGCGTCCAGATACAAGGCCCTTCGAAATAACCAAACACACAGAGTGCAACAACCCTTTAACAAAGCGTTTACATTTTTCACCCAAAACGCGACTTATCTTACGATAAAGTATACGTTTCTTATTTCATCCAACAGCGGCTATTATCCATTAGGCTACGTGTCCATTTAGTATTATAATAGAGCAGAGGCTATGGCGCTGATTCTTTTCACTGAAATGATTCGGTGGAGGAGCAGGACCGTCTACCAGAGCTCTGGGCGTGCCTAAAATCTCGGTCCTCCTGACGTCTTCACGAAAACTACGCGTCGTAGAAAAACAAACACTGCTGTCATATTAACCACTGTCAAAGGGCGTACAAAAATGTGATACATAGCGCATGAGATAATTGGTGCCTAATTTGTTTTTAAATATTAGCTTTAGTTAGTAACAAAAGGCGTCTTCAATCAGGAGCTTGTTGGGCACTCACTCCATCTTGCGGTCGAAGCAGATCTCTCCAGCGACAATCTTGGCGTAGATCTGCGTGAGATGTTCGTGTGGAAGGCCACGCAGAGCGGCAACCATTCGCGAAAACGACGCGCTCGCCTCCGGGCGGATGTCCTCGGCGGTGCTACGGCAAAGGTCCCGCAGGATTCCCATGACGTCCTTGATGTCAGTCTTCTCAACCCTCGTGACGCTGTGATCAAACTTTAGGGAGCTCATCATGTTCACGGTGGCTGAAAAATAAGATGATCGTGTCGGAATCCGATAACACATTCACCACAAAGAATGCAAAATGTCTTCATCCTTCTAACCAAATTTGTAAAAGTAACGTATCTTTTATGGACTACGTTGTTACCGCTAAACTTCATTGAATCCCGATTTTCTATAAGTAACCTACGCAACATGGTTACAACTTAGCCTGACAATGAAATTAAAGAAGTAAGCATTACTAAATGTTTATTCATCAAGAAATTCTACGCACATCAACATGAAGACATTGAAATGGTCACACAACGAGTTTTAAAAAAATATCAAAAATAACCTGAGCAGTGCAAGCTAGAAGAATATAGCCAGGAGTTTTCATAACGTGGTTTGACCGTTTCCCCCTTTTTTGTAGATGTAGAAGCCTATAGGCCTTGGCTAATTAGGATGCCATAAATAGGAACAACCACAGCTTCAAGAGACAACAGAGAAGTAAAAGAAACGAACAGACCACTGTTCACTCAGCGTTGAATTTGTTTGTTTCTCCTGCGCAGCACGTGGACATACTCCGTCCTTGCGCAATATTTGTTGAACTGTGTTTGAGAGCTCCCTTGTCTTTGCTTCGTCGATCTTCAAGTTAAACTCCAGTTAATAGATCATTTTAAAAACTCCATCAAACAACATTGGCGGTAGTCATGTTTTTAGGGACGAAGGGTGTGACTGTTTTCGAGTCTATGTTGAACGTAGGCGCAACTCAGGTGTCCAGTACATGCTCAGGGTGCGTGCCCAAAGAATGGCAGTCTCGGATGGAACAAGCTCTGCAGATACCAGATTGCACGCAATTCTCAAAAGGGTCCATTGTCAGTGTTCAACGTTCACGGCTCGCTGATGTCTCAACCATATGTTCCAGAGGTAGCTGCCTTACCTGGCACGGGCTTGATCCCTGGGGTTTGCTGCTGGAGGATGAGTACCATCGTCGACGTGATCAGCGTTTCTTCCGCCATACCCCTTGCTGCCAGTTGGAGGAACTCCCTCTCCTTGCACTCGCTCTTGGTGATCCAGCGGTTGCTGTCCACCACCATCTGGCAGTCCATTGTCCCGTTGGTCATCGGGATTGTCTGGAACGGCTGACGTGGACACCCCAAGGGTGTTAGTACACTTTGAGGCAGATTCTACACCAAGGTGATGTCGTGCGTTATGAACTTATGGTCAGTTCGAGTAACCTTGCCGACCATTGCCTTAAAGGGATGGTGAATCTAAATTTGGATGTCAGAAAAAACAATGCAGGAGATGTACACGGGATGCTACAATCCCTAAAACACTACTCGTAAGGCGATATCTCGCCTTACGAGTAGTGTTTGAGCAACCAAAAATACCCCTGGTATTTTTTGGCTGCTCAAGCAACTACAATGTAACTCCAACCTTTCGCACTGCCCTCTCACATGATAAAAGTACTCATGTGTGTTCACATAAACATAGAATTGCGACCATAAGTGCCACGGCGTGAGCACTTGTATAATTCTCGTCTTTTTGTAAAGTCGAAAACCTTTTAAGCAAGATCTTATCTTGAGGCTATGGTTTTTTGCTATTGTTATGTTTACGAGATCGAAGCTTTCTCGCAGTTGTTTGGACGTTGGCCTCAAACGTGTAGCTTCTATGTCAGGTACCATATCTACTAGGTTAGGTTCAAAGGTTTGTGGAGTAGCTTAATATTTAAGTTAATCTGCCGCAATTTAATCCAGGAAATTAAATTGCGTGTTTACTTTCCTGAAAGCTTGGTCTCATGCATTGATGAAATAAATTATTGACCGAAGCTGTGTTTTACACACATTGGACATCGGCATAAAAGCAAACAATGAAATATTTCAGAGAAGTGCTTTGGTTGCTCGTGCTAATTTTCGGTTTTGAAATTTTGAGTGGTTTGGTCGTGTTTTGGTTTTACTACATTGATGAAAAACAAAGCAAGCGTAATGTTTGATGTCTCAACTGTTCCGGTTCTGGCTAGAGGCTTGGTCACTCAATACCCTTGTTGTCATGCTAAGCTTTTCTCTGAAAAAGTTTGACAACAAAATAGTCCGATCAATTGATTGTAGGGTTTTCATTTTACTTGGACAAGCGCGTAAAATATTAGTTTAGTGTCCAAGAAAGGCTTCTAGTTTTCTACTCTTCTTTTTTATCTATAACAGATAAAAATACACCAAGATTATACAGTATAAACAAACTTTTTACACCGCCTATATTAAATTTTATTATTATATCTTGTTTTAGAGATCAATTATATCAACAAAAATTGTCCCTTGCGTTCGAGGTTTTCCAAACAATTTAAATACTTTTGTAATGCAAAATTCCTTTCTAATAGATAAATAAAATTTTATCATAAATTCAATCAATCAAGTGTGTTTCATCAATATGAATTTAATCTATGCAGTCCAGTCAAATGCTAGACGACGAAAAAGTGGCGTGCAGCTTCAGGCAAAATTTAATTCAGCGCATAAGGGAATGTGAACTCTTCATCTCAAAATGATTTTAAAAAAATTTGTCGTCAATTTTGAGCTTCCTGTTGCTTAGTACTCTTATTTAAGTCTCTAGTTCGATCACGACTGGAATTTGCCTCAGTCAATTGGAATTCCTTTACTCTGTTGCAAGAGCTACCTATTTAAAATGCGCAAAAACGAAAGGTAAGAATTTTATATGACGGCTACATTGGAAGGAGATATCTTTATCACTGTGAAACATTGCTTCGTAAATTTTCGCTACATAGATTGGCCGTGAGAAGGCAGTTTAGATATTTTCTATTCTTTCACAAAGTTGTTCATGGCCGGGTAAATACGCTGGCTTTATTACAACCTATTGAGTTCCATGTTACCTTTCGCCCGAGCCGAACCATTTCAACTTTTTATCCATCTTGCTTGTCCGTTGTGAAGTATACAAATTGCTTATGATTCACTAAAATTTAACCTCAACATCTTTTCATCCACTCGTGAGTTTATGTTAAATCTATGGGATTGGATGTCTGCGAACTAATCAATAATCAAATTTTGCATTATGATAATGTTGCATGACTTTTATTGTTTTAACTTTGTTGTTTCCTGCAATTTTAGGTTTTACTCACTGTATGTTTAGTACACCACACTGTAAACCTAGACTTTGTTTGCGGGCACAAAAAATAAAAAATAAAACAATTTATTAATAATATAATTTTTATTATATTACCAAAATAGCAAATAGAACCTTCGGGCAAAGCTCTATTTTCACAAAAGGTGCTTTTGACCATTCGGTTTACCTGCCTTTTTAGCCATACCAACTATTTATATTTTATATTCTGACCTTGTTTAATATCAGATTATTAGACGAGGCTTTTTTTTTACATGTTTTAATGTGGCCAAGACAAGAAGCGAAAACACAGCGTAAATATAAACAGACTGAGCTGACAATTGACTCGGGCCTAAGAGAGGGGTGTAGTAGCTGCCTTATCCGACGAGTCCGCGGCAATGAGAAATATTGCGATAAGAAACTTCATAACAACTTGTAGGCTAAGGACAGCACCCCAAGGATCAATGGTAGCCCCGCAACATGTTCCTCTGCGAACCAACAAAGAGTGAACCGTTTTGGCAGCCTCAGCCACCGAACTCTCCCACAACTACACCGCTTTCAAGGGAAAACATCTAGAGATAGCATCACCCAAAAATATACGAAGCTGATGTTGTCAAGACGGTCTTCGAATGTTTTCGATGGTTTGGAATCAACGGCCCGGTGCACCTAGTCTCGTTATCGTAGTGCTCCACTTGCCCGACAAGGTCGTTGTCGAAAGCCACCGGGAGGATGGGAGGAAAACACTCCAAAGGCACTCTCTTGAACCTTGCTCGACCTTAATCTGACATGCTTGAACCCGAAATATTTCTTGGTGCGTGCGTTTCACTCGTGCACCGAGTCCTTAAGAAGGCACGCGAATAGTGCTTGGCACGGCCATTGGTTTCTAAAGGGCTGTAAATGCACTAGTGCTGCAATGAAGCCTGTTCAGAATCAGATACTGACGACTGTTAGGTTAAGAACGGTACCTCTTGAAGTAGCCTGGCCTCTAAACCCAAATTTCGATGTCGGCCGCCTTTCAAGGTGCCGGAATTTGGCTAAGAACCCTAGTCATATTTACGAGACACTTTGCAGAGATACTCAACAACACCATCCGTTGCCAGTAAATCCACAGCATTAGAGTCATCATTCAAGAACGAAGACACCACATTATCTTAACTAGAGAAACTTTAAGACTAGAATGAGGGATTGTTATTTTATTTGTGCTCACCGAATTCTTGGACTCGTACGGTGTATAGATGATGGGCAGGGAACTACCGAAGCGGCCAAGACAGGTTGCCAGGTTCTTGGACTTCTTGAGAATGCCACCGTTTACGGGGCTGTACTTGGTCTCGCACGTTCCAAAGATGTCCGTCTGCAGGGGTGCAGATCACATGTTCAAATTAAATCATGCAATGCCAAGCAGTGAACTGAATTTTTATTATCCTACTATACTGCGAGCAAATATGGAGGGATTGAGATTTTTCATCTTGATGTTTTGAATATTCTTCAAAACTTCTTGAGGCTAAGGCCGATATTATTTTCAAATCTGGTGAGATATCTCATGTTACAGTTGTCGAAGCAAAAGGGACGAAAATCGTTTTGATTGAACATAAACTATGGTGCTAAAGCAACATGTATTGTTCATTTTCATAATTAACCTATTACCCTCTCAAAAAATGTGTTGTAAAAACTCAGTATCTGCTAGAGCGTACCTCAGAAACGATGCTGTTGGCGTCGAGGGTTGTTCTGGGGATCTGTACCATGGACATGATGGCCCGCTTGACGTTCATCGCCCAGGGAAGCTCGCTGGGGTCGTGACGTACGTCGCCGATGATGCCTTCTTCCATGTGGAAAAGCACAGGGTACTTCTCCAGCGCTTCTTTGAAGGCATAACGGTTGGCGACGCTGACCCCTTGAAGCTCCACATCAATTAGCTGTAATGAAGAACAGCAACAAACATTGCTTTGAATGGGCACTTTTTAGACATACGGAAATAATAAAACGTGATTTTTTTTGTGGTAGAAGAACATTGTACTTTTTTTATTTCAAAATCTCATTAAAATAGCAAAAATAACATTCAAGCAAAGCTGTATTTCGACACAGGGTCTTCTGAACAGCATTTTCAGCTGCTGTTTTATAGCAATACGAATTATATGTATTTTATACTCTGACCTTCTTGTTTAAAATCAAGATATTGAACGAGGCTTCTTTGACATGTTTTATGTCACGAGAACAAGAAGCGAAACACGGAATAATTAAAAGTAAGCTTCTTTACGTGTTAGAATATCCCATATTTTATTAATAAAGGACATCACGCATTTTTTGTTCGACAAAGGCAACCACGAGGCTTGCTGTCATAGATTTGGACGTTAATACTTGTGGAGATTTTACAGCGGTGTTTTTAACGCTACAAGCAAACATCTTTGTAAAACACTAGTACCTCTAGCCAAGGTTCCGTGTGTATAAAGAGCATGGATGTCCCATTTTCCACCCACATTTGTCATATAAGTGAGAAAACTGGAACTACAGTAGTAAAATTATGTCGTTTGAAAGTATTCTCATGGTTAAATTTTAAAGCGACGGCCTACTGTGTTCATGCACCAAGAAGTCACTTATAGCATCCTAAATAATCATCTAAGTCTCAAACGTGTACGTAGCTGAAAGCCGAGGGTGCACACGATTAAATCGACACGATTGCTATAAGAATTGATTCTCATTTTTGTTAAAACCACGAACTATGCTAAAACTAGTAGCAGCCGCATCTTATATCAGACAGCAATGCTTTCGTTTCGAAGCCGACAGATATACAAAGTCACCCATCATTCTTATTTGCCAGTGCCTATGCCTATTCCGTCTGAAATTAAGATTCCATCCCGACTCGCAGTAGCTACAATATTCACAAGCTGGCATGCATTTCTACACACAAAAATGACAAAGTGTCAACGTTCTTTTTCACACGGTTACCTACAGAGACTAAAATACGCACGATTGAAGTCACATGTGCTGCAATCACTATCAACTTAAGAAGGGCCAAGCGTGAGGCGTCCGGAACGTCCTGTTATCGCTACTTAATGAGGTTGCAACATTTTCCGACCAAAGAACACCGGAGAACAAATCACGAATAAATAAGCCTGAACATGCAAAGTCACGCCCTGAATTTATTAAGCTATCAACGACTATAGCCCTATTTCATATTCTACTTTCAGTTAAACTTAATAATCTTGTACATTCCTTTCTAGAACCATTACGTTTCCCGCTTGCAACAATGTGCCAATGACCTACCTTGAGCGACAATAGACATGGAGATATCGTCCCGATCTCGACGCTCGTCTTAAACTGAATGTGGTGTTGGGCATCCTTGTTTTCGATTCGGTTTTCACCTTGGAATACGTACAGGAACGTGTGCTGGGGCTTTAACGAAGATGGAACTGCAAGAAGAAAATAGAGGATATTTTTAAAGATAATTCCACAGAAAAAAAAAAAAGATTGCTCGCTTTTATTAATTTATAACCAAAAGGATGAGTCCCGAGCGCCCTGTCATCAATCGGTGGCCAAATAGATTGTGGCATTGGGCAAGAAGAACGCCGGAGGACGCATCACGAGCTAAGCAATAATACCATAACTAATGTAGACCACGCGACTAAGTAATGTAGACCATCATCGTAACCACACATCATAAGTAATGTAGACCATCATCGTAACCACGCATCATTAGTAATGTAGGTCATCATCGTAATCTAGATCATGCGTGACTTATGATGTTCACGCTAGAACCTAGCATCAGTAATATTTCGAGTGAACTTCCGAAGCGTGGGCGTTGGAACGCAGCAATCCAAGAGTTAATTAGAGGGGTTCGCTACTGCTCCTTACGAATTTGGAACTGAACAAGATCATATAAATTCAGATTTTCAAAATTTTTAGACTTCCACGCGTTAAAGAACCTAAATATAAGACGTTTTTGGTAAAAAGAAAGAAAGAAAGAATGAAGTAGAGTAATAGGAGAGAACACATTCAACCTGATCAGTAATTTCACAGGTGTTGAATCAAAAGCGAAAATTCAGAGGGAATGCAGGTGCTAATTTCGAGAGCGTTGGTTGGTGACTCCTGCAGGACCTACCTCTAATATAGGCATTTTCTAATGGATTGATTAGTAGCGGCAGTATTTGTAATAAGATATACGTTGAGCGGGCTATGTAATTTTTGTTCTATTCGTTGTTCACGTGAATACTGAATCGGGAATAACACTCGGATCTATTTATTTATTTATTTATTTATTTATTTACCCACAAAATAAAAGGTCACAAAGAGGAGCGAACACACGAAAAAATTGCAATTAAGCAACTACGAGGTGCTATCATTGTAGGAGTTCGTTGACGTCACTAATTGCAGCAATTAAAGCGGAAAGGTGACTCTAGTCATGTGATGTTCGAGGTAAAAATAAGACACGATATTAATAAAGCTGATTAATGCGGATTCTTGGGCGAGTTGGTACTGAAACTCTTAGAACATGATAGCGCTTCAAGACAGGGACGAGAGAAAGAACGAGACAACACAATGCGCTATCGCATGTGTCGTCTCGTTCTTACTCTCGTCCCTGTCTTAAAGCGCTATCGTGCTCTCCAAGTTAAGATATTAATAAATTAAAGGTTCTAAAGGGTGTGAACTTACACCGACATTCCTCGGATATACTTGCAAGCGGCACTGGACCTGTAAAAAAACATGAAATAATGTTGTGTAAAATAGTGCGTATTTAGACAAGATGCACAAAATCAACCGAATAGCTTCCCTACGTTAACCATGTTCAATTAACACCTAAACTTTTTGCTCGCTTTCGTGAGCTTATGTTTGCTGGTGTGAATGGTTGTGCGTGTTGGTGTCTACATTACGATAACAAAAGTAAAACATGGAAGACAAACAGACGACACAGGCTCTTTTGTTGCAAGTCGAAAGCCTGTGTCGTCCGTTTGTCTTCCATGTCGTTCTTTCGCTGTGGTAATGATGTTTGCTTCTTTGCACCCTTTATTGTTAGAAATTTTATACGCTAGAGTTGTGTCAATTTAGTAGAAACGCCGATAGGTGTCGATTTTTTTTTATTTGGTGTAATAAATAGGGGTGTCGCGAACCGGCCGAGGTTCGAGTTCGACCAGGTTCGACTTTTTCGAACTTTTAGTGGAAAATTCGACGAACTTTGTATTGAGGTTCGACTAATGTGCGCATGCGCGACAGGCTGGCCAGTTGGCTTCGGATTGGATGGTGATGGCTAGGGGAGGAACTAAGGGCAGCGCTGATTGGTTATTTTAGTTAATACAGTACAACGAATTAAATTATTAACTTCTTCAGTTATTTGAATCAGTTTCTTTTAATTGTAGCTGTTCGCAAAATTAAAATAATCCTTTGCATAAAAAAAAATTCTCCAAACCTAGACATGCTTGTATTAAGGTTTGGCCACACTGTCCACAAAGTCGAACCGGTCGAATCTGGTGGAAAAGTTCGAAGGTCGAACCCCGAAAGTTCGACCTAAAAATCCGGTTCGACAAAAGCTCACGACACCCCTAGTAATAAACGGCGGATTATTGTGCTAAATCCAGGTGAAAAATAAATCCCCAGAAACCGGAAGCATCTGCAGTTTTTGAAAAACACAGGACATTGGACAACAGACGTAATCGTTTTGAAAAAAAGCATAGCCCATACAATCTAGAGTTTTCGTTCAAGCGAGATTAGGTTAAAAAATAGCAATAAACTACACTAATATACAGTTGTAATTTCTTTACAACGCATTTTTAATCGAGATAATTGCATCTAGAAATGACGCCCACGGATTGAGTTTCTTGCACATTTTATTTCTGAGGATGTTTAATGTGATAGTCATCTTTTTTTTTTTTTTTTTTCTAAGGGTAATCTTATCTCGGGTAGAAAAACTTGTTTTTGCATAAGCTTTCATATTCTGTTCAGATGCCAACTTCCAGCCGAGAGAGAGATACGAGGCATCTTCTCCGCAGTTTCTTACGCATTTTAAACAGCCAAGACACGGATTTCAAAATGATGTACTCCAATTTCAGAAGACAAAAAAAAAAAAGGAAAATAAAAAAAAAAACAAAAAAAAACAAGCCAAGTCGGTTTGCATTTCAACCAAAACATGATAATGGAACGTCGACTCGCGCTGGTTGTCTCGGAGCGTGAAAGGGGAGAAACGAGGAACTACCAGAATTCACGCCGGAAACACGTGATTTCTAGAAAACGGGAGATGTCTTCGCGCCTCGTGATGTCCCTCTCGAGCTCAGACGCCTTTGTTCGTATCTAAAATTGGGGTCGCTGCCCTTTTTTGTTCGTCTGTTTAGTTCAGATAGCCGAACCGCGTAATCTGAAAAAACTTTAGCTGAAGGCTGAATCTTCGAAGTTTGTAGAGACACTTGAGGTAACGTGATAAAAAAGGTTGTTAGATAAATAAGAGAGATCCCAGGGACAGTCTAAAACAACATTTAAATATCTTTCAAGAGTCCTCTCTAGGCGTATATGCAAAAGGTTTATCTAACACTTCGTGAATGTTGGTTCTTCGGTAACTAGACGGTAAACTCTCTGACGGCTACAGATGTATTGGCGAAACTTCTCAAAACACTCTGGCCGACGATATGAGCGCAAACAAAGGAACTAAATTTAGAGCTGTATACTTTTTTTAAAGTAAACCTTTGATGATATATCACTGCTGTCCAAAGAGTGCAGAACAGAGCGCACAAAAAGGCCATAAACACGCGTCTGGTGCCGCTGAGACGATGCTGGAACCCTTCCAGAGGAAACGCGTACGTTCAAGTTCGTATTAGGAACGAATGTACATTTCCTTACATAATGCAGACCAAAATCGATCATGCAAGCATCGTTTTCTTTGAAATTATCTGAGTCATATGAGAAGTACAGCATGAAAGCGAGCCATTCCTTCTGAGCCGCTCCATGAAATCAAAGGTCGCCAAAGACATAGGTTCGTCTGCTTCTTGCAAAGGGGTTGCGATGATGTCAGAACGCGGAACTTATTGACTGATACAAACAAAAAAAAAATACTGGTTAGACTTTAAGTCATCTGGCGTTGAGGTCTAACCACTATCCTTTAAATCAAAGCCAATCAGAGCGCGGCTTCGTTCTGACGTCACCGCCACTCCTGAGCAAGAAGCAGACGACTTGCTCTGCTCATAGCGAATGGTCAACTCCTGTCCTCTTATTCGGAATTCCAGTAGAGAACACAATTAAGACGCTTAGAAGAACTTTGGGCGAGATCAACCGTATCCACTCAACACGCACGGAACGTTCTATCCTATCCCAGGTGAAAATTCAAAGTGGTTCCACTTTGAAGTGGTTTATTGAACAGGGACCACTTTGGAGTGGTCCCTGTTAGTGCCAGTGTACTTTTTGACTAGTCGCACTGCTCATACATCATGCAAAATACTAGCAAAACAAAAACAAAAGTTCGCTAGAAACATAACGACAGAACTATCTCGCGACATGTCTCAGACATGTTTGCTTCGTACATACGTATGTTTCGAGCATGTCTGCCGACAGTTTTAGGGTGACCAGTGTGACAGGACTGTCATACAAGACAGACACACGCCTCGGACAGTAGGGTGTTTTAGGAAACCGTTTTTGTACGCCCAATACGGTACGATGTGCACTCCGGTACGAACTGCTCATGCGCTAGCGCAGAAGACTTGCACATGCGCAGTTTGTACAGGAGGGCCCTTTGCACCATATCGGATTTGCTAAAAGCAGTTCCCTAAAACTGTCCAGTGTCTGGAGAGTGTCTTTTGAATCACGTATGAGAAGTGTGATCGTGGCCTAAGATGGCAAGCCTTCGGGAAAAAGGTCGGCGCAATAACGCTATGAAAACTTAGTTGACTCTAATCTGCGGAGATATCTGGTCACTGATATATAGGTATAGACGTTATCGACGTTGAAAGGAGCGCAGACTTGTCTCAGTTGCGTGAGCTCGACGGCCGTTAGAACCGTAATCGGTGAGTCATGTTGACTTCCACACACACAGCCAAAAACGGCGGGGTGATGATCGCAGTCGGACGACATAAGATCGCGGGACGCGTCGTCAAGTCTGACGTAACTGCAAATGCAAAGCGAGGAATTTCGAAATCTTGAAAGGTCTGTCACGGCGGCCGGATCGCATCCGGATGCCACCGCCAGACTCGACCGCCTGAACCGCCCCGGACCGGACGTGTACGATCTGAAAGTGGTTGGAAATATCATAGCAGATAACGAAGCCTTCGCGGTGTTTTTGGTCGCTCAATCTGTGTGCAACTTTGCTGTTGCATACATTGGTATTATGCAACACCGAGAAGTTATCTCACTTAACACCGACGACCAGTTCGCGCTTTCCACGTTTCCCTCGTTTCCTCCTCTCCCCCCTTCTACCCTGTCCCCCACTACCTGATTCCTCCTCCCCCATGATGAGGAGAATATTTTGCCGTGTAGAATCTCCAGCCTCGTGGATGTCTCATTTTAAGGGACACACACCGGACCTTCGCGTCTTCATATCAGACCAGCGGCTATAGGATGTTCTAGAGTTACTGGATAAGCTACGCCTAGAGTATCGGCGGCACTTTTCCCAATTTTCTTCTGGGCGCCAACATTTCTGTGCTTAGGGCAGAGCGGATGCAACGTGTGGCCGTTACGATTAAAAAATTTGACTTCTTGAGATTTAGACACTGTGCCAGAAAGCTCATGCAATATTGTTTAGCTTTGTCGCAAACGTATGTTTCAAGTTTCTGGGTACTTTAAAGCGTTCACTGTGATTTCAGGTGAAGCTTCAGATAACTCACAGTTGTGATATTAGGCACCAAGGTGGCTGAAATGTCGTTACTCTGAAGCGTAGCTTTTTTTTGTGTCTCTAGCGCGTTGTTTCTCTTGATTATTGTCTTTCTGTTTTTTTTTGTTTCTTTTTTTTCTCCTTGTTTAGCCGATCAATTCGTCAACTTCTTTCTTGAATTTCTTGAACGTCCATCAGTCGATTCCGTCGCAGAGAACAGAGACTAAAGAACACATTATATAATGTATGCAAGTAACGAGACCGATAGACATCTTTGCAGGGGAGGCATCCCCATTCAGCCCCCGTCTTTTCCTTTCAAAACAAAACAAAGAGAGAGAGAGAGAGAGAGAGAGAAATAGCGAGAAAGAGGGGGGAGTGGGATAGAGAGATATCAAGGCAACTCTTCGAGCTCTTTGGCATCATAACGACCCCATTACCTTATAAAATAATAAGTGAGTATCGGCCGCCTTATGTGAGTAGAGTCATTTAAGAGCTCATCGTTCCCTTAGATGTGATGATGTCCGCTGCATGTAAAGCCTTTCATCTAATTTTGGTCTTTTGTTGCTGGACGGTGACAACTAAGGGTAATACATGTCGCTAGCGAGACGTTATTGGCACGAATGACAACAGTGTCTGTTAAATTTCTGTCTGCCGTACCGTAATCACTGCGAAAGGTGCTCCGCCACCCAGTTCCCCAGGAAGAAATGACGCCACTACGCTTCGGTGCGAACACTCCATTCTTTTGACGTCACGAAAAAAAAAAAAAAAAGAAGCGTCCTTCATCGCCATTTTATTTGAACAGGAAACGTTCTTTGGCTAGTTGCTCCGGATCACATGGAGCCGTCGCCTGTGACGCCACATGACTTCAATTTCCATGCTAGATTTAGTGGGAAAGTTGATGTCACAT